CCCACCCATTAAATTATTTTCGTTGCTACTTCATAACTTCGGTGAATATGTGTTTTCCGATGGTCTTGTGACACCATACCATACAAAGCATACATGGAAAGGGATGAGGGACGTAGAGCAAGAGGTAGACCAAGGACAATGGAAGGATAACATCAGAGAAACTCTACAACAGCACGATGTGCCTATGGTCGAGGCAGCCAGAAGAGCTAGAAACAGAACCTTATATCTCCCTCGACACCCACAGCTGTAAAAGAGGAAGTGAAGAAGAAGAAGAAGAATGGTCTTTGGCGACACTGTGAAAGGGACGTTCCACCCACAAAAGGGTCGCGACCCACACGTTGAGAACCGCTGGACTCTACAGGGTGTGCATCTGCATGTTTATGTACAAGTGTGTGACAGTATCTTCTTTATGTGTTGTCTTCATCTGTATGTTCGTAACTGTGACCGGGTGACATACTCCTTGTGGTCCGGGTTCACGCCCGGGGGTATGCAGAAAAGCCACATTGCTCCCAGATTTACGGTATTTATCATGGAATCAAGGAAGAAGGGTTGCGATATCCATAATACCGAGCCTAAGGGTTAACAACTCATGGTTTCTGGATACTAAAAAAAAAAAAAAAGTATGTTCGTAACCTTGTCTTTGTCCCTGCTATTTCTGTCTTTTGAAGTCAAACCATATACAAACCGGCGGAAGTCAAGGGGAAACCACCGCTGTACTATCCCAAGTACATCATTTTTCAAAATAATAGGGTAATAAAAGTCGATGGTATTATTTTAGGACAAGTACAGAAATTTAAGTATCTGGGCACATAGATAACATCAGATGGAAGATGCATAACTGAGATAAGAAACACAATAGGACAGACAAAAACTGCATTTTATAAAATGAAAAACAACTTGTGCAATATATCCTTGTCATTGAGAGTTAGAAAAAGAATTCTTGCTTGCTATATACATCCAGTTTTAACATATGGCTGTGAATCCTGGACAATCGATTGGTAGGCAGGCCAAACAATTTCTATAGGTCTCAGAGATGTGGTTTTCCGGAAGAATTCTTAGAATACCGTGGATAGCCAAAAAGAGCAACCAAGAGGTTTTGAAAGAGGCTGGAGTCCGAAGGCAACTTTTTACAGAAATCAGAAGGAGACAGTCATCATTTTTCGGCCATGTTATGAGAAGATGGAAAATAGAACATGTTGTGACCACAGGAAAGATCTGTGGAAGAAGGCATAGAGGAAGTCAACGAGAGAAGTTGCTTGACAGTCTTGTTGCATGGCAGGGAGGTGTGTCGGCACACGAACTGATACATGCTGCAGGAGATCGCAGATTATGGAAGAGGCATGATCGCCCACGCCAGTCCGCAAGGCACCTGATGATTTCTGTCTTTGCGTGTGTAACTTTCTCTCTCTCTGATGTCTATGTCCGTACATACGCTTTTATGGTGCCACTGTATCTATGTGTATCTATCCATAATGTTTGTATGTACCCGTCTGTAACTGAACTGCCTTATATGTGAGTTTATGTAACATCGCAAGCTAGCTTGGTTCCGTCACGTAGTGAGACACGATTCGATTGCATAGACTGTACTTCAAGGAACACTGGTGGGTAGTCGAAGAAGAGTAGGACAAAGAAAAAACTGGAATAACAACATCAAGATACAGACAGGACTAAGTTAGCTTGTTCAGTAGGCGGTAGACAGAGAAAGATGGCGGGTTTTGTGTGCTAGTGCGTTCCATGGATACACCTCCACGACCCTACCGAGTCAAGGGTTATGTTATAGACGTGCTTATTGGCGATGGGTCTCAGTACACTTGTTTCTGCAGTGAGGCGATGTCGTTATTTGGAGCTGACAGGTTCAGTTCCTGGCATGGTAACTGCAGCATTCGATATTTATTGCTGTTATCTTTCTACTTCTTTGTAAGAGTGCCAATCAAGACATTGTTTGTTTATTGAATTATATATGTTTCTACGACCCCACAGGTTCCCTGACTGTTTATTTATGTCTAATCCGAGTGGGTGCTGTATAAACAACACCTTCATTTTTAATAGAGCCACATTTTGAAGACGGATCTAAGAAAATGCAGTTATCTCTTGCTGTGGGTATGAACACCACAGACAACATTCTTGAGCCTAGGGTGGCGCATAGGACACAGAGGTCATAGCTATCCATGTCTGGCGGTTCGTTGCCATCTGCTGTAGGTCATGGATGTTCATTAGACCCGTGGTTACGACTTCCCTGATGATGGTTCTACACATGGTCTCTCTTGTTCTTTCCAGTTTTCTTTTCCCTTCCGGTGTCCATATGTGGGCTTGATGTGGGAGTCTGGTCTTGTCCATTCTGAGTGCATGGCCGATGTAGTTCCAGCGGCACTCTTATAAAGATCAGACACAATATCTTGCTTGGTCTCTTGTCTTATTGAATTCAAATATGTCCAGTGGAGATTTAGTATTCTTCTAAGACATTTGTAATTTACAAACATTTAAACGCGTTACGCATTTCCGATTTACAAACAACACAAGCGAGTCTTGTAATAATTTTACATCTAGGTGCAAGACGCAATACCATGAAATAAATATCTGAGCGAATGAGACATCACGAAAACGTGTATGGCTAATGCAGCTTTGCGCCGAGCTGAAGTGCAGTATTGCATTTATATGTCTAAACAGGATTCTAAATCCCACTTTCACTCGCGGAAACATTGCAGACGTGATTCGTGTTCGGTAATCACCTTGTCTTGATCAAAGTATCGTATTCTTATCGCTCACCGGCTGTAAACTTCAGTGAAATGTTCTGGTTGTTTGTCCACTTCTGGCCTTTAGTGTTGTTCCAGAACCTAAGTTTTGCGTGCACATCCGTTTTTCCTATCTGGCTTATTTGTATGCAGACTTTTAGGTTCTCTAAGTATAAGACAAACTCACTGTGTGGGTTCCAAGGCCCCATTGAGGGTGGAAAATATTAGATCTACTGCCTCTTAATAAGCATGTTGTAAAAGACGAGTAATTAGGAGTATTTCCTTCAAAGTCGGAGTCCATCTGCCTTGGAGGCAAGGAATCGACCAGGTGCATAAAAATACGCCCCCCCCCCCCTTTTTCGAGTTTACAGCAGGTGAACGCGAAGAAAATTTGAGCCTTTAAACTGAAATTCTATAGAAACAATCTCAGAATATGGTGGACCAAGGAGAAGGAAAACCTGAACATCAGAGAGAACTCTGCAGGTGGGTGGGGGTGGAGGTCTCTGTGGCGAAGTGGTCAAGCAGTCTGCCTCGCGCTCTGAAGGTCGCGGATTTATTTCATGGCTGCGCCATTTCACAGGTGCAATTTTTAGGAAATTCTCCTAGGATCCTTGCCGGAGTTCGTGCTTTGTGCTAGTCGTTCTGAGGAGAGAGAGAGACCAAACCAGATAGGATAAAACCCAGTGCAATATAGTCCATCCTCTCGACTTTTATTACCATTTTCTTTTTAATCAAAGAGAACTGTCTCGTGAACAACATCCTCTCCTGAAAGCAACAATATTTTAGACATGTCAAATGTAATAAACAAGCAGACAATGTATTGATTGGCACTCACAGAAAGAAGTAGAAAGATAGAAAAACACACCAGACAACAAAACAATCAAAGGCTATAGTTACAGTGCCGGGAATCAAACCTGTCACCGCCAAATGACGAGTGCGCCTCGCTATGGAAACAAGTGCACTGAGAACATATTTCCTGGTCATTGCAACGATAACATAGTATTATTTATCTCTTTTATCGCAGATATATTTTATATTATCTCATTGTTTCTGAATTACTAATTTCTTTTTCTTCTTCTCTGCGTTCGGTTTCGTATGCTCAGATCAGACCATCAGGTGGATTGTCTCTATGAACTCGCATGTCAGCTGCAGGTCATTCATGATTCCTCATGGCTTGCTCTGCACACTTTGCTTTGGAGGCCAGGTGTCTTTTGGAATTTGTAGATAAGAGTGGGCAGGTCTGCAAAATGTGCTCTCGTGTTTGGGGCCCTGTTTGACTGGCACACTGCAAAAGTTCCCAAGTCGACTATCAGACGACTAACTGGGTTGGTTCCCTACCGGAGAGTGCTTAACTACCATAGTCACATCCTAAAGCTAACACCGATAACAGTCAACAGCCAACCACATCAACAATACAGGAATAGTAATCTTTATAATTCTGCATCAGTCTATTTATTGGGATGAAACACAGTGTGATGATAAAGATGAATTGGTAATTAGTGAACTACTGTCCGTCAAGTACTCCCAGATACTCAATGATCTGCCTCCAAGGCAGTGTCACCTCAAAGGGGATCACCTAGCCTCAACTTGACGTGAGTCTACAACCTCAACACCTTTAATAAACGCCTCAGTTATGTGCCCAGATTAAAAAAGGTAAAAACAACACTTTGTCCACACTTTGGGTCACCAATAACCTATACACTATAACTGACTAGAGACAGTCGCAATCAGACTTCCATGTGATCAGGAACACATCCTTGCAGTTGAATCATAAAGAGATGTTGGGCTCTCAACGCCTTGTTTCCATTAAACGCACTCAACTGGAGCATTCCGAATTATACACCAAATTCTAATGAACAATCTAAGTTTTACCATAATAAAAATACACATGAATGCCACTAAAAATCATTCACCTCCAAACTCTCTCACAGACTAAGGAGCACTGACTAGAATTTGCCCGCACGGCGAGAGTTCCTTCCACTCCCATTCATACCATTGCAGGTCGCATGGCCTGTCCTATGTTGTGGAGGTGTTATGAGATAGCTTTGTTCGACGTTCGCTCGCTGTATATAATGTTTGTGGGAGGTTGTAATGTCGTGAGTCTCTTTGGAGCACAACAGCCGCCTGAGCACAGTAAGTCTTTAACATTCCAAAGTGCTAGTATTAACAGTTTAACTAGAAACACAAGAGAGATTGAGTCTTCAACATCCCATAATTCTACAACACTGGCAATAAAGAATCGACCTCAGAATGTCCACCCTGAAATGTTCAGCATTTATCCAGATAAAGCACATGCAGTTTTGTTTTGTCAGGGACTGCTCGAGCCTCCACCAACGCCACCTTCAGGCCATCGCTGGCGTCGAGGGACATCCGTGTGATTAAACTACCTTCACTCTCAAGTGGTACTGTAAATGGTGAATGGAGATTTCTTTTCAAAGATTCCTGATCGAGCGATTCAAAATGGCTTAGGAACACTTTACCTGAGGAGGGGGAAAATATAACAGATATCAGAAAACTGTTTAAAAAGCTTAGAAAAGTTTGCAGTCAAAAGGATCGACTTCATTGCATCGGGTTTTATCATATATGTCTAGGTCCCTCTCTGCAGAACAGGTAGTCACCTGTCAAGACGTCCCACAAACTCTATAACTCTGGCGATGATCCCCAGGGACCTGCGTTAAAATTGCACTTGTGGAACAGGTTTTAGGCCTGGAGCAGAAGTTCCCAACCATTAGGACAACGCTTGCACTTCCCAGGGCTCTGCGACCGCTTCAGAGAAATATGGCCAAGGTTTGATATTAAATGAGTTTTGGTGGTAGCATATAAAGGACTGACCATTATGGTAAATTAAAAAGTTTTTAAAACATAATTTCATTGCGCGACACTGCACAGTAGTTTAAATACCTCTTTACTTTAAATTCCATTACTACCTACCTCCACTTTCTGGGACAAAGAGCGAAAGCTCATGCGCCGCTGGATTGATAACAACAACAATAACAACAACCTCCACTTTCTCAACATTACTTCTAAACACCATTATCTTGTAAGATAGAGGGTAAGGCAGGCCTTAGGGACTCTGCCATAGAAATACATTTTAAAAGGGCCACTTCTCTAGAGCAATATATAAAGCATCAACTCTTCTTTGCATTCACCGGCTGTAAACTCCAGTGGAAAGTTATGAGTCAACTAATTAATGGGTTTTCCTGAAGTAGGAGTGCATCTGCCTGAGAGGCAAGGAACCAACAGTCTGCATACAAATAAGCCAGATATGTATAACAGAGCTGAACACTAAACTTAAGTCCGGGAATAAAAAATAAAGACCAGAAATGGACAAACAACAAGAACTTTCCGCTGGAGTTTAGAGCCATCTTTGATTGATTAAAATTATTGTACTGGATAGAAAGAGGAGTGGAATATACCGCGAGCCCTTTGTGACACATAAACCACACAGCAGAGTGATGATGATGAGTCAGTCAATAAATTTCTCATTGTCTTTCTCTCTCTCTCTCTCTGTCTAGGTGAGGGTGTGTGTGCTTGTGTGTGTTTGTGTACGTGAATGATTGTTTCACTCTTCATAGCATGTTGAATGACTGTTTTCTCCTTCTGAGCTACTTTCTGAAGGTCTGAAACCTCTTTGATCTAAAGTGTTGCAGGCTGGATGTCAATCTAATAGGACAAATCAACCTTCCTAAAAGCTATAATTATTTTTGTTCTCTCTCTCTCTCTTTGCTGGCTGGGCATCCTGTTGCCTTAAAGGTTTATCAGGGTGCCAAGCCAACCGTGAACTGAGTCTGCTAGTGGGTTTTCTCCATTAGTAAAGCATAATGGTTTGACAGAGTCAAGTCTTCTGATCTTCTTCAAAAGGCTCAGAAGCTAAATCAGCTGTACCTGGTTGTTCAATATATTTACAGTCTATATCATGTACAGGGTCTCCTCGACTTACGACCTAGGTCTGTTCTGACTGACAGGTCAAAAGTCAAACTGTCATAAGTCGAATTTAGCTTCTTCTTCACCAGCTGTAAACTCAGGTGGAAAGTTCTAGTTGTTCATCCATTTCTGGCTTTTAGACTTGTTCCAGAACCTAAGTGTTGCAGGCACATCAGGTTTACAGATCTGACTTATTTGTGTGCAGACTGCTGGCTCCTTGCCTCTGAGGCAGATGCACTCCAACTTCGCAGGAAATCCCCAATTAGCCTACTCTGACGACATGCTTGCTGGGGAGGCAGTGGGTCTATTCTTGTTTTTCCCATAATGGAGCCCCGGAATATATATTTTCCCAAATATTTTATTCAAACACATAATATATACTCGACTACATCTTGGCTCTCAGGTCGACCCAGCTTTGAGCGGGTACCGGGTGCAGTCCCGGGAAAGTAAAGGCAGTCGGCGTGATGCTGACCACATCACCCATCTTGTGCCGATTGGTCTGTAAAAATATAGGTTGAGCCTTATATGCCCTATACGCCTAAAGGCGTGGAAAAGAGTCCTTAACTTCACAAACTTGAGTGAGTTCCAGCAATATGTTCAAAATACCAGTGTAGTTATCTTTCTTTATTTACTAGTTTTGAATTTTTTTTTTGTGTCATCATGAGTACGAGGAGAAGGTGTATATGCTTAGTGTCTGCATTATGTTTACATGAATTCAACAGGCATAATCTTCTTCTTCTTCTTCAGCATTCTGAGTCCTTGAGGTTCATTGCTGCAGATATCACCTGCCTCCATTCATCTCTCTGGTTGGCCTTCTTCAGCATTCTGAGTCCTTGAGGTTCATTGCTGCAGATATCACCTGCCTCCATTCATCTCTCTGGTTGGCCTTCTTCAGCATTCTGAGTCCTTGAGGTTCATTGCTGCAGATATCACCTGCCTCCATTCATCTCTCTGGTTGGCCTTCTTCAGCATTCTGAGTCCTTGAGGTTCATTGCTGCAGATATCACCTGCCTCCATTCATCTCTCTGGTTGGCCTTCTTCAGCATTCTGAGTCCTTGAGGTTCATTGCTGCAGATATCACCTGCCTCCATTCATCTCTCTGGTTGGCCTTCTTCAGTATTCTGAGTCCTTGAGGTTCATTGCTGCAGATATCACCTGCCTCCATTCATCTCTCTGGTTGGCCTTCTTCAGCATTCTGAGTCCTTGAGGTTCATTGCTGCAGATATCACCTGCCTCCATTCATCTCTCTGGTTGGCCTTCTTCAGCATTCTGAGTCCTTGAGGTTCATTGCTGCAGATATCACCTGCCTCCATTCATCTCTCTGGTTGGCCTTCTTCAGCATTCTGAGTCCTTGAGGTTCATTGCTGCAGATATCACCTGCCTCCATTAATCTCTCTGGTTGGCCTTCTTCAGCATTCTGAGTCCTTGAGGTTCATTGCTGCAGATATCACCTGCCTCCATTCATCTCTCTGGTTGGCCTTCTTCAGCATTCTGAGTCCTTGAGGTTCATTGCTGCAGATATCACCTGCCTCCATTCATCTCTCTGGTTGGCCTTCTTCAGCATTCTGAGTCCTTGAGGTTCATTGCTGCAGATATCACCTGCCTCCATTCATCTCTCTGGTTGGCCTTCTTCAGCATTCTGAGTCCTTGAGGTTCATTGCTGCAGATATCACCTGCCTCCATTCATCTCTCTGGTTGGCCTTCTTCAGCATTCTGAGTCCTTGAGGTTCATTGCTGCAGATATCACCTGCCTCCATTCATCTCTCTGGTTGGCCTTCTTCAGCATTCTGAGTCCTTGAGGTTCATTGCTGCAGATATCACCTGCCTCCATTCATCTCTCTGGTTGGCCTTCTTCAGCATTCTGAGTCCTTGAGGTTCATTGCTGCAGATATCACCTGCCTCCATTCATCTCTCTGGTTGGCCTTCTTCAGCATTCTGAGTCCTTGAGGTTCATTGCTGCAGATATCACCTGCCTCCATTCATCTCTCTGGTTGGCCTTCTTCAGCATTCTGAGTCCTTGAGGTTCATTGCTGCAGATATCACCTGCCTCCATTCATCTCTCTGGTTGGCCTTCTTCAGCATTCTGAGTCCTTGAGGTTCATTGCTGCAGATATCACCTGCCTCCATTCATCTCTCTGGTTGGCCTTCTTCAGCATTCTGAGTCCTTGAGGTTCATTGCTGCAGATATCACCTGCCTCCATTCATCTCTCTGGTTGGCCGTCTCTTTCCAGTTGGTGACATCAAGTGCTTGCAGCTCTGTCTGGACATGATCTTCCCATCGTCTTCTGGATCTGCCTTGCGGTCAACGACCATTCATCTCCCTTGTGTACACAGTATTTACATCTCTGTCATCTGACATTCTTTCAAAATGACCCACCAATTACAGTACATGCATAATCTATAAATTATAAGTACTTGTACGTGTGCATGTGTGTGTGTGTGAGAGAGAGAGAGAGACAGACAGTTAGAAAAGTTTTTGTTGGGACTGTGTTTTTGGTTCGTCACCCTTAAAAAAATAAAGTGTATTCTCTCTCTCACTCTTTGGACAGAGAAAATCATAGAGGCAGAAAGCGAGATACTGATTTATCAAGACAAGGGCAGTAACTTAGCCTCAAGGGGAAACCCCCATTTTTTAAAAAGTATCCAGAAACCATGAGTAACCCTTTGGCTCGATATTATGGATATCGCAACCCTTCAGCCTTAATATCATGATAGATACCATAAATCTGGGAGAAATTTGGTTTTTCTGCCTACCACCGGGCGTGAACACAGACCACAAGGAGTTTGTCATCTGGTCAATGTGCAGGGAAAACTACTTTTTAAACATTCACTGTTGTCGATGGCAGAGATACTGCATTTAAACAAACATGCTTTTTTTTTTTAAAAGGATATTAGTAAAAATCTCATAAAACAACAATAACAGAAAATATCTTACCTTTTCCAGAAACTGCACAAAACACCTGGCCATGAATGGCAAAGTCTGTTATAGACTCATTGAGCTGGCAAAAATAATTGTCGCTCCATTCTATGAGCACCTGCCAGTTTGTGATCACCTGGCTTGCCTCGTCTGCCACCACGTGGCCAGTTTCTAAGAGTCCATCAGCTGAATAAACAAATCAACCAAATCCCCAATGAGAAAACAAACAAAAAACAAAAAACAAAAAAAAATTAAAATTCCTATTTCCTTTTCTTTTTCTATGTTTACCCTTAAAAGGGCAGTTGGCCTGTTGTGTTGTGGTTTACAGCTAGACTGCAATATCTGCCCTCTTCGGCTCAAAGCATCTGGTTTCAGCACAGCGCTGATTATCAAAGCAATGTTTCCTAAAAAATCTGATCCCCCCCCCCACCCACCCCCAACAAAGGGGCACAAACCTAGAGTTCACAAGCTATACCTGGCATATTTTGCTTTATACTGTACAATGTAGTATGGACCTAAAGAGAGGCAGTGAAATATGCCAGGCAATGAATGGTGCACTCTATTGTTTGTGTCTTCTTTGTTTAAACCCCTAATTAGTCGCCTTTTATGACATACTTGTTAGGGAGCAGTGGGTCTATTCCAGCCACTCCACTCTACCTTTCCCCATCTCCAAAACAGAGCCCCAGAACCCCCACAAGGATGATGGATATTATAAGTCTTCATGCATTAGTAACAATGTGATATGTCACATTACCCAATTTCTGAACAGTGAACAATTTGATATGTCCCATTACACAATTTCTGAATAGACAACAGCACAGCAAAGATAGCAGAGGTTTTTTTTTTTTTGACGCATGCATTGTAAGTTCTATAAACTTAACTGTTAACCCAAAACACATGCAGTTTGTAGACTTGATGCAACAAATGATTCACTTAGGCACTTCAGTAGAACAATCTGTCCTGCAGTGGTCAGTGCGGCTTAGAAGACAATGAAATAGTGGACAGATTGGCCAGAAATGGTATTGGCATGCTGCAATCAAACAGTGACTTACCCAACAAGGCACTGAGGAGTTAATACAACCTACTAGATTTTCTAGTATCCAGGAAAGGTGGCTGGCTACACATACCAAATTTTCTTCCCAAGATTCGCTTCACTGCCTCTTAAGAGGGAACATGACAACAGAAAATGCTGAGCATGTGTCCCAACACTGTCAAATGCATGCTGCTCACACAGAAGCAATCTGGCCTGTTCCTATGAAGACAAAACTGAATGGTACACGAGGAGATCTGGACTGGATGATAGTTTTCATCAAGGCTATCAGCATCCTGCTATTTGTCTTCTTATAAAAGGATCAAAGAAGAAAAAAGAGTCAGCCAAACTGGTTTGAATTAATCCAACAGACTCCTTTTTTTCTCTACTTTCATTCTCAAAGGGAGCATAGGCCAACTCATACAGAGACCTTTGTAATAATTAATGCAATTTTTCAGCACCAGTTCTCGTTCGAACACTAAAGTAAAGCAAATGTCAGTGTGGTTGGTACTTAAATAAGTGACCACTTTGGCACACCTCATGTTGTAGACATTTTTTTAGGGTGTCTCTGTGGCGAAGTGGTCAAGCTGTTTGCCTCACGCTCTGAAGGTCATGGGTTCTTTCCCCATCTGCCCTTTAGTTCATGAGTGCAATTTTTACGTAGCTATGTAGTTTGTGCTCTGCGCAGTGCTCTTGGCAGGCGGCTAGCAGTTCTGCAGAGAGAGACTGAGACATATGGATAAAATCCAGTGCAATTAAGTCGATCCTCTCCACTGATCATCTCCCTTTAGTCAGGTCTTACAAAATGCATGGCAGATGAACATATCTGAAAATATTAAATACAGACTGTCTCTTTTATGTGAGCAATCAGTTATCTCTGTAAGTTAGTTTCTCTCAAGACATCTTTATTACTCTTTTTATCTGTACAGGGTGTTTTGATCACTTGTCTATAAAACCATATCACCGCTGCTGCCACAAATTTTCTCACTAATTGCCAACTGTCCACGATTCAGTTCGATATATTCCAACAACAAAATATAAAGTCCCAAATTAGAATGATGACTGAACCAACAAAGAACCATGACATAATATGTAAACTACATAATCTTACCGTATAAGACAATGACTAAATCCCCCAGCAGTTTCATCTTGGCTGCCTCACCCCTCAGTGTGTATGTGGGAGTCTCAACTGGTATGTCCGACCTTCTGTTTGGAATGATGCAGATTCTTCTACTTTCACAAACGGCCACAATCTGTAAACAAAAACATGTTACCAGTGAAGATAACAACAGCAGGAAGAACAAACATGGATTGTTAAAACTCTTGTTCAAAATTAAACTCAGCAATGAAGATAACAACAGCAGGAAGACCGAAAATACATTGTTAAAACCGCTGTTCAACATAAAACTTTGCAATGAAGACAACAACAGCAGGAAGAACAAACCTATATTACCCTTTTGTTTAGGTTCTTAAACCTAAACTTTGCACTGAGGATAACAACAGCAGAAAAAACAAACATACATTGTTAAAACTGCTGTTCAACATTAAACTTAGCAATGAAGATAACAACAGCAGGAAGACCGAAAATACATTGTTAAAACCGCTGTTCAACATAAAACTTTGCAATGAAGACAACAACAGCAGGAAGAACAATCATACATTGTTAAAACTGCTGTTCAACATTAAACTTTGCAATAAAGATAACAACAGCAGGAAGACCAAAAATACATTGTTAAAACTGCTGTTCAACATTAAACTTTGCAATAAATATAACAACAGCAGGAAGACCAAACATACATTGTTAAAACTGCTGTTCAACATTAAACTTTGCATTGAAGATAACAACAGCAGGAAGAACAATCATACACTGTTAAAACTGCTGTTCAACATTAAACTTTGCAATAAAGATAACAACAGCAGGAAGACCAAACATACATTGTTAAAACCGCTGTTCAACATAAAACTTTGCAATGAAGATAACAACAGCAGAAAGAACAATCATACATTGTTAAAACTGCTGTTCAACATAAAACTTTGCAATGAAGATAACAACAGCAGGAAGAACAAACTTCTTCTTCTTCTTTCCTCTACTCCTGGAATGCCTCGCGGCGTCAGGGCAGGAGGAGATCTCTGGAACAGACCCTTCTGTTCGCTTTGTATAAACTACTTTTCAGTATCTCTGATATTTCTGCTGCCCATTTTCTGAGTGGTTGACATCTGGCTCTGTTACCGCTGTATCTGTATAGCACTGCTCTCTGTGATGCCCGGTCTGATGCCAATCTTGTTACATGGCCAAACCATTTGATTTATTGTCTACAAATAAAGTTCAGTATTGGTTCTGTGCCATTTATCCTCCTGATATCATCATTCCTAATTCAATCTTTCCTCGTTAGACCAAGCACAGTACGTAGAAAAAATTTTTTTTTAAATTATGTCGTTACTATTTTTCTTGTCTTCTGAAGATAGTGTCCATGTTTGATATTGATAGAATAGCGTAGGTAAAAATTTTGTGTTGAACAGTGTTCTTTTAGTGTTCATATTCACATACTTGCAATCAAAATTGGTGCGATTAGGTCTAATACTTGATTAGCTTTATTGCATCTTTGCTGGATTTGTTTTAATAATTCTTCTGTCTTCTGAAAAAATGGTCCCCAGATAAGTAAAATCCTTTGATTGCTTTAAATGGTGTTCATCAATTTTGATATTGGTGGTTTTGTCTACGTTGATCTTCATATCATAGTTGTCACATTCTGAGTGAAGTCTATTAATATGTTCTTGTAGTTGTACTGCTGATGGTGCTATGATTGCCTGGTCATTGGCAAAAAGCAATTCATTTAGTACTTCTCCGATGTTGTTTCCTGTGCTGGTGTTAGCTGATTTGCAAATTTGGTCGACGTATGTGATGAACAGTAGTGGTGACAATGTCTCACTCCAGATCTAATGTAGAACTTTTCTGACATTCCTGCATTTGATTTAAGTGCATATTGACTGTTCACGTATAAACTTTTGCACAATTTAATAAGGTGTTCGCTTACTCCGTAATCTTGTAGTACCTTCTATAATTTATTCCTATTAACTCGATCGAAAACTTTCTCTTGGTCTACGACGTGTAATTCTTTATTGAATTCTACCATCCTTTCCATTAATTGTCTAAGTGTGAATATTGCATCAGTACAACTTCTTCTGAAATCCCATTTGCCTGTTACTAAGTTTCGATGATAAGGGGGCAGCCTTTTTTTCATGGATCTTGCAAAATATTTTCTCTGTGTAGTTCAATAACGAAACTCCTCTATACTTCTCACAGTCTCTCTTGTTGCCTTTCTTTTTTCAGATGGGTACTATTACTGTGTTTCTCCAGTCCTCTGGTGTCTCTTGTGTTGTCCAGACTAGGTTAAACAGTCTGTTCATCCCTTTTACGCCTACCTCTGAATCTTGTTGCATGGCCAAACAAGTGACTCACACAGGGATTATTCTCATTTTTAAAATAACACTTATCCATATATAACATTCAGAATTGCTCTTACCCACCCATTTCTCGTTGAAAGCCATACTTTTGAAAGGAGTTACATTGGTACTGAGCTCAATCCACTTCTGAAAATTGTCTCTGTCATACACAGAAATCACATTTCCACCAAACACATGTCTGACGTGATACAGCAGTGTGTTGTTGGTCCACATACTGAGAAAATATGGCTTTACAAGTTATTATTTCAAGCATATATTCTATATTTTAAAAACAAAAAAGGTAGCTGCACATTCTTTACAACCTGGCTATTCAACTGGGACCCTGTGGGCCAAATGTGGCTCACGGAAACCTAGCAAGTGGCCCGCCGATTATTGTCAGTTGTGTTGTAAAATGTTATTTCTATGCGGGGGCTTAGTCCTCTGGCTCTTGACGGGCCTCATTTTCAAAATGTTGGTCCTGAATAAACTTAGTTGAATAGCCCTGCTTTATAAGATGCAGTAGAATCAACTCCAGGATTTACCAGCTATTTGTGGTTTAGGTGTTGCGAACGTGCTTTGTAATGCCGGAGTGCTGAGTTTAATCCCAGCTGCAGGGGACTTTTTCCCTTGTGTTGGTTTCGACCGTGGCATCGAGAGCTGACCTTTAAGAAAGCAATGGCAACTAGTAAATGTAATTGCCTAGAAAAACCACAACAGCCAAAAAATGCTGGGGTTGGTTCTACAACGTCCTGTTAAGGAGACACAACTAACTTTGTGACTTCACTAGGAAATTTTACATTCAGTTCAGGAGCTTTCATTGCAATCTGAACGGCCAGCTCTCAATACCACTGTTGAAACCAATGCAAGGCGGTCTGATGTCAAATCACCCAAGGCTGGGATCAAAGCCAGTACGCTGTAATGACAGAGCGTGTTCGCAATGCCTAAGCCACAGATGAAGCGGTACTGTAATGTACACAGATGAAGCAGTACTGTAATGTACACAGATGAAGCAGTACTGTAATGTACACAGATGAAGCAGTACTGTAATGTACACAGATGAAGCAGTACTGTAATGTACACAGATGAAGCGGTACTGTAATGTACACAGATGAAGCGGTACTGTAATGTACACAGATGAAGCGGTACTGTAATGTACACAGATGAAGCGGTACTGTAATGTACACAGATGAAATAAAGGAATATCTTCTTCTTCTAAACATTCACTGGGTGTAGATTCTGGCAGAAAATACTGGTTGTTTGTCGACTTCTGGAATGCACATCCATTTGACAGATATGGCTTCACTGGATGCAGACTGTTGGTTCCTTGCATCTCCAGCAGATACACTGACTTTGAAGGAAACTCCCCTAATCAGTCACCTTTTAAGACATGCTTGCTAAAGGAACAGTAGGTCAATTCTTTCTTCAGCCCCAGAATGGGGCCCGAGAACCCATACAGGGAAATTGGAGGAATATCATGGTAGGAGAATAAACCAAACATATAAGTACGAAAAAATTCTTCTTCTTCTTGTGTTCGCTTTCTAATGCACACCGACAGACAAGTTCTTGTGATAAACTTGTCGACTCAAGCCTACCTCACCTTCACTATGTGGACATTGTTCTTCCCAGCAAATCCAGCAGATGGCTGGGGTCTCAACCAGCCCCCCCCCCCTCCCCCACTTCCCAGTGGGATATTGGATGGGGCAACAAATGATGCAATGGCGTAGAAATGAGAACATGCCCTCTATCTCAAGAGATTCTGAAGTCGGAAATACTGGTCCTGAAGGCAGATTAAAAAAACCACAGTACTAGGTAAACCACCCCCTCCCCCACTTCCCCCCCCCGTAGAAATGAGAACATGCCCCCCCCCCTTTCTCCCCCCCCCCCCCCCCCATACATACTGCAAATAGTCACATACAAAAACAACAACAAACAGAAGCTGAAAAAAATCAAACAGGATTGTCTTCTTCAGCATTTACTCTTAAAAAAGGTGACCGGCACAGTGTGGTTTACACCTAGGCGGTGATATCAGTAGCTTTCGGCTCAACAGTAAACCCTGAAATAGTCATCTGTTGTGACATGCTTGTTAAGGAGCAATTGGACTATTATCCCCACCCCCACTTTTCCCACACACGAATCAGGGCCCCAGGAACCCATACAGGGAATTAGACTGGATGAGGTGCGGATAAATCAGGATACTTAGTCATATAAAGAGACTTATTAAAGTAAGTAAGTAAAGGACCCTTTTCCCCGCCTTCAGGCGCATTGGGCATAGAAGGCTAGAATTATATGTGGTCAGCATCACGCTGGTCACCTTTATTTCCCCGGACTGCATCTGGCAGCCACTCAAGGCTGGGTCGCCTTTACTTTCCCAGACTGCATCTGGCACCCACTCAAAGCTGGGTCCACCAGAGAGCCAAGGTCATTTTTGAAAAAAAGTCCAGCTCTGTGAAGTTTAGAACCCACGACCTTCCGATCTGCAGGAAAGGGTCTAGCCGCTACACCATGGCGGCTCCAAAAAAGACTTATAGCTCCTTGTTTATTACCTCTTGTGATTTACCCTTTCAATTTTATATTAACTCCTTCAGCCCAAAAGGTTTCAGATAAGAAGGGAAATCACCATCATTATCATCTGCTTTTGTGTGCCCTATATGTCCTGTATTGTGAAAACCGGTAAAGGACTCCTTATGCTAGTAAGGCAACCAGCGTATGCTGCTAAATCAGCAACTCTAAACCTGTGGGTAGTGACCCTCTTTTGGGTCGCACTACCCTTTCACAGGGGTCGCCTGACCCATCGGAGAACATATATTCATTGAAGTTATCCCCCCCCAAAAAAAATTGAATAATTGCCTGGGGGTCGCCGCAACATAAAGGATCTGTATGAGAAGCTCACGGCATTAGGAAGGTTGAGAGCCACTGAGCTAGAAAAAGTTAAAATAAAATCCGTGTGGATTTGAACCGAAGACTTTTCAGCCGGCAGGCAAGAGTGCAGCCACTGCATTGCCATAACTCCCTAACATATTTTACATACGCTTTCTCTGCAAAAGATTTCAACTGAGAAAATCGACTTAATTGCTCTGGGTTTTATCGCATATGAAGGGGCCACGTTGGCGCAGTCGATAAGAGGCTCCCTTTCAAATCCAGCTGTGACTTGCCGCAGCCACGGTCGGTGGTCGAAATCGCGCGGTGTCCGGGGTTCACCCAGCCTCTAGGAAATGGGTACCAGAGTTGACACTCTGGGGTAAATGGAGGAACGTCGCTGTAGCTACAGAGTTACGTGTGAACGGCGACACAGGCGGACAATTCTGGTGGCAGAGCACTTATGGTTTATAACCGTGTGCAATGACGCTGGTTCACATCTCCCGACTTTACCTTTTTTTAATCGCATATGGCTCTGTATCTGTCTGCAGAACAGCTAGCAGCCTGAAAGGAGTGTTGAACACAGCACAGACACTGTAGCTATGGGGGTCTCTATAAAAACTGCCATCGTGAACCAAATGAAGCAGATGAATAATAAACCCATAACATTCAGATTGCGAGGCAAAAGGTTTGACCAATTCGCCACAGAGACCACATAATTGCTCAGCAAAAAGGTGCACTAATTTCTGCATCTTTCCTCAGTAGATTTGAAGACTGAACTGTTTTGACCTCTTATCGAGTGTATTAAAATATCTTGCTTCTGATTACGTAACTACAGGGTTACCTTAAACAAATCTCTCCACTTCCAACGTCATCTGTCGCTGGTAATGATGAGGTAATCCAAGGTAATTTCAATTTTCTAGTTCTCTTACTTTTGCCATGAATTACCAGTTCAGACAGTGCCGATTCACCTGAAATCATGATTTCACCATTACCTCTTAAAGAATGTCATGGTTTCTCGCTACATTTTCTTTCAGTTTTCAATTGTTGGATTAAACATAAAGGATTATTCATGTCTGTGGTTTCAAAACTATAGCGATATTAGCCAGACAGTCGACAGATTATTCTCACAGCAAATCGAACTAGTCAGTCCAGAAATGCCCAGATCCCTTCCTCGAGCACCTGATGACACTAGTTCTGTGATGATTCATTATTTTTATTTCTGATTCCACATAATAAATGATGCAGAAATCGAAAATGTCACAAGCTTTGGATATCTAGGCTTCATAATAAACAGCAAGGGAGACTGTTCAACAGAAGTCAAGAGGAGGATAGCCATATCTACGCAAAGATTACACAGCATTAAAAATCTATGGTTAAGCACCAGTAAAGAAAACAGGCATATTTTGAGAGCCTGTAGTTTCGCTGTGGCAACATACAGATATAAGTGGTGGACAGTACACAGCATTAAAAATCTATGGTTAAGCACCAGTAAAGAAAACAGGCATATTTTGAGAGCCTGCAGTTTCGCTGTGGCAACATACAGATATAAGCGGTGGACTATCTCGCAGTCCAAAAAGTATGACAAAATGGCATGTGTGATAAATTTGTTATCACAAAATATTCAGTTAACCTTTTGTTAAAGCTTCACCTCTGCCTTCAGGAAAGTAACACTCTGTGATGTAGAATCAATTACAACACTTAACCAAGCACGAGTCGCAGGCTTAGCTTGGACAAAAATGCTCAACAAAGAGTATTTAAAAGAAAAAGAAGATTAGCTGTCCACAAGGTAAGCTGGTTGTGAGTATATCTTCATCATCATCATTATTATCCTGTTGTTCCATTGTACTGTCACATAGGGCTCGCATTTATTCCTCCTTCATTGATGAATGTTGGGTTTTCTTCTCCTTTCCTTCAAGTTTCTGCAGTGAAAGAACTTTACAGGGTGGGGGGGTGGGGGGCAATGCTCAACAAATCTTTCTTGTCTGGAGCCCGGCAATGGCAGAGATGGTGAATATATCTTCTTCTTCTTCTTTTGTCATCTCTCTCGTACCAGGTTGTAGCTCAGTGTCGTGGTTTTCTCTATTTGTCTTGCGCTTCTCAGTTGGGTTGAGTGATGGATTATGTCCTATAATAATTCAATGTTTCTTGAGTAATAGCAATCAAATACACCACAGCCAGAACATACGAAACGGCCAAAATCAAACAGCATGCTTCATAAGAAATATAAGCACTGAAGCAGGAAGAATTGATAAAACTACCTTTGTTTAAAAATTTCATAGCTGTACTACCCTCAGACATTTCTGCAACAGGCGTGAAGTAGAGTGATGTTCTCTGCGCCTCTCGATTGTTTTTTAATGCGAGCTCACCAGGTAATACCGCTGGCCACTGCCACAAGGTTTGATCAAGTCCCACTATGGTCACACAGTCTGTGCTTTCGAACAGGAACAAGTATCTGTCTTTGGATGACAGCAAATTGAAATGAAACATAATTTACCGATAATCACAGCTAAAAAGAACAACTAAAGACAGAGAATAAAAGTTAAATGCATTAGAAAACAAATGCCTAAGAGAAATGATGAATATAAAAATAGGATTATTTCCACTCTACCTACAACTTCTAAAAAAAGTTCATACAGGCAACCAACCTGATGGTCTGATCAGGGCATACGAAACCGAACGCAAAGAAGAAGAAATAGGATGATTCAAAGTGGATTGAAGAAAAAAGAGAAATGTCGAGGCAAGCACTAGTATCAACAGTTAAAATATGCATTCTTAGAAAAGACAAACACAGAATTACCAAAGGCGGTGAAGTGAGAAATAGATGGATGAGGGAAATGACGTCCAAAAGAAACCCTAGAATGAACACTGATGTGAGACACCAAAGTTGCTGGACTGGGTTACATCTAAGGTTCCAAAGTGATCACACAGAATAGAATGGAAGGGAGGAATCGACTGTGAACCCTATGTGACATTTAACGGAATAACAGATGATGATGCTGATGAATGACAGCTAAGAGTGGTGTGTACAAAATGTACTTTATGGTCATGTCTACATCTCAAGATGGTAACTACCCTTTACAGGATTTTGCATAACCAAACCCAGCCTTTTTAGGCTGTTAGGTTTTATTAGACATTTATATGTTCAGTAGTTTGCTGTTGTAAATAGAATAACTAATGTAGAGCTTTGGGAGAGAACTAAACAGGCTCCAGTGGACCAAGAGGTGAGGAAAAGATGCTGGCGCTGGATAGGACACACACTGAGAAAACAGGAGAACAGCATAACTAGAATGTCTTTGCATTGGAACCCACACGGGGCACAGGAAAAAAGGAAGGCCAAAAAACACATAGAGAAGAAAGCTGGAGAATGAAGTTAGAAAGATGGGGAGGACATGGGGAGAGCTCCATGTAATAATGAAGGATAGAACAACTTGGCGGGAGTTGGTTGAAGGCCTGTGCTCCATTGGGGGATAGAAATGCAGAAGAAGAAGTTTGCCATTGCTTCAGAACAGTCACCTCTCAATACCAAAACAAGCTAATACCAAATAATTTACAGATGTAATCGTACTGCATATTTTGGAAACAGGAGGCAGTGTCGCAACACCACAGCTACAGAAACAGACACAATTTAAAAAACCCTATATATATATATACATATTTGTCGCCCCGGATGGGAAGGTCTTTGGTTCACTCCCAGGTCGACCCAGCCTTGAGTGGGTACCAGGTGCAGTCCCGGGAAGTAAATTTTTACTCCTCACATTACAGAAAATAATGGTGAAACATTAAAACAGAATAATATATTTTAGCTCTGAAGATTTTACAACTACCTGCCAATATATTGGTGTCTAATAAAATAAAAAGCTTAAACATCTACATGTATAATCATCTGTGATTGCCAAGAAAATATTGAATAGTGGCCCTGGACCAAAAGGTGACGGTCCCTTGAGAGAAGGCGAGTGGGGGGAAGCCAACTTATAAAATACCCCAAAACTCTACGACTGGCCCTCGGGGGTAAAGGCGCCATAACCTCTCCCCCCCGCTCCTGCGGGTAAATTTTTAGACAAGGTATTGGAGTCAAACCCTATACAAAACCGGGGGAAGGAAGGGGAAACCACCCCTGTTTATCCCAAGAAAATATGCCCCAAAATAATAATATTTAAAAAACGAGTGAATGGGGATTTCCCGTGGAATCACCTCGTTCCCGGGAGGGGGCTCGTTCTAGGGGGATACCCGACCGCATCCAGTACGAGAAAAAATGAGGTTTGAAATTCATGAACTTGGGACATGGAATTCCCAAAATTTAAAA